GCAGAGAGACTTGGAAAAGTTCCTCTGCTCACCACTGAGGCTCTAGTGGGAAGCTGCAATGCTACATTCAAAACGAATGCTCTTTCCTTTACCACATTACTGTTACCGGACCAATGCAACCTAGCAGCTTCGGGAGAAGCAGCCTGCATGAGACTTTCCAGGGAGATGAAACCCCGGCAGCTTCCGAGGCCCCCTAAATAAACTATGAATTAACTTTGCCCTTTTAGATCAGGGAGCAACCAAAGGAGGTGGTTCATGGGGCCAGCTCTTTCACAGCCCTTAGAGCAGGGGAATAGCTAGGTACATCTCACAAAAAAGAAGGAGTTGTATCCCAGGGCACGGGAGCCGAACAACCCAGGATCAAGCCATTGCAATAGCTGCCTGGCTGCAGACCTTGCTGGTTAGGAAAGCCAGGAACCCAAACAGGGATTTTGCCTCCGGCAGAGCTCTCCTGTCAGGCGCAGCGTTGCTGCTCCTGTTCGCCCCTACAGACACAGATCTTGCTCATCGGTAAAGAAAACAAAGCCGAACACCCTGCCGCTCCGGAAGAAAACACGATCCGCAAAAGATACACGAAATAAAGTTGCGTAGACGTTACCTGCGCTCGTTGGTTTGCCTCTGCTCCTGCAGCCCGGGCAGCATGGCCGGCACACGGCAGGGCAACTGACAGCCACACAGGTGCCTGCCCTTGGCGTCAGCCTCACCACCTGCAGCTGGGGGGATTCCAACCTATTACCCAATCTGTCTAATTAAGAAACACATGGAACAGAAAAAGAAAAATTTTGAATTTAAGTTTTTTAATAAAAGAAAAAAAGGAAAAAATTGAACTAAAGTTTTAAAGAAAAGAAAATAAAAGTACTTGAATTCAAGAGCTTCTCAAATTCTCCTTACATTAACCTTAAAAACAGTTTCCCTGCTTTGCACACAACTTCTGAGGCTTCTTTCTTACCATGAATGTAAAAACTCACAAGTCTGGCACTCTTTTCACTCCTTTTCTTCAGTAAAACCACCCCAGCCCTCTCAGAAGCGCTGGTGTGACTGCAGACCCCCGCAGCAGCCCCTTCTGCCCCCCTCGCAGCCCCGGGCCCGGCCCTCAGCCTGTACCCCTGCTGGGCCACAGTCTGCCCTGTGAACCCCCTCCCTCAGCCTGGAGGGACTTTCAAAGA